TCTAGCTCAATGCCTGCAGCCTCCTAAGAGGATTACATTACACTAATTAGCCCTTTACAACTGTTAACAGCTTCTGAACCGTAATGATGAGACTGAGAATTGCTTAGTTACTGTTACTTTTTAATTCTGTAACTGATCTTCAAAGATATGCCTTTGCAAAAAATAATTCATTCTAGAAGACAGCTGGCAAACTGAAATCAAACTGAAATAATCTGTACAAGCTGGTACAGGACATAAACTAAAGCTTCTTTTGTACACTTTAATTTTATGTTCCTCAGAGGCCATACCCAAACCACAGTACAAATGCCCTCCACTTCTCATTCTTTCATAAAATATTAGCTTTAATATGCAATGGAATTACACATTCATAAAGCAAGTTTCTATAAATATTTAGTAAACCTTTATGCAAAAGGTAAAAAAAAAGGTTTCAGAATAAGACCCTTTTTTGTGAAGATAAATACATAACTGTTAAGAATAACATTTCTGCATGTTTAGATCTTTATGTTGTTTCCAAGCAAAATAAACCATGTAGTGTCCATTCCATGAGCCAGGTCGACAGTGAAGATTACTGCAATCCCAGTGGAGGTGTTCTGCCACTGATAATCATTCATTGGGGATCATACATTACATAACCTCCCTTATGCAAATGCTCCTTAATACGTGGACTTCTCGGTCTTGTTTTTATACTTTCTGTCAACATAAATTCCCTGTGTAGAAAAGGTATGAGTGCTTCCTGCCTCCTCCTGCTGTTTCTTGAACTATTTTTTCTAGTTCCATTACTTCTAACATCATGATAGTGCATCCATGGCCTTGCCCTTGTGGCCTTACCTGTACTTTTCTTAAGAGTGGTTTATCGGTTGTGCAGCAAACAAAACCATTTCACCAAGCTCTTCGGCAAAAGAGTTTTATGATATTTTCTGTCCTGATGATCTGAAGATGCGACCATTGTATCCTCCTGTCAGGCTTCTTCTGCTTCTGAAATTTCAATTATTCATCAGTCAGCATTAAAGTTGACCACTGTCCATGTAAGAATTCAGGAATTTTTTTAATTAATAATATGACCATCCAAACAATTAACTAGCCAGGCTTCACAGAATTGTTTAGCAGCATTGCCTGTCACCCTGTGGTTGTTTGCAGATACAGCAAGCCTCATATGTTACACTTCATCTGGAGTAAGGAAGAGTGGAATTCTGTGTTATTTGAAGCTGTATTAATGGTCCTAGTTTAGGGTGTTATGGCTTATTAACCATAGCAGTGAGATTCTCATACTTCTGTAATCATCTTGCATGTACTCGGGTAGAGCTACCATGCATTCCATGGCATCACACACCACACCAAAGATGACCCGCGGGGGGAAGAGAACTGGTAACAGGCACCTTCTATCCCAACCATGAGCCAGGTAGTACAGCTAAACAAGGGTCATTGCAGTAGGCAACTTATCTGGCACATCTTCTACGTGGCCTTTGAAAGTAAGGGCTCCTTTATAATACTGGTTCTTAAAATTCCCTCTAGTTTTTCAACCTTCATAGAGGTAGTACAATTTTTTTTTGTCTTCAAATTGTTTCTCTCTCAGAAGTTCTACTACTACTAATACAACAATATCTTAGGAGGCAAAAGATCCTGATAAAGCCTGGCACTCCACGTATGCTAGACAGCATCCTATGACTCAGCCTTCTCAGCCTCTACAACTTCTGATGGCAAGTTTTTCTATTACTTCACTAAAAGCTAGAGCAAGCGCAAAGTTACAGGTTTTGGGTTCATAAGGCAGTGCCCAAAGATGAAATGAAGGAGGATGTAACCTGGATACATTTTTCAGAGTTTAATTTTTAAAAAACCAAATCTCTCTTTATTTTATTGTGCTGATAACACAATCAATATCCTAAACAGAGTAATAAATTCTGCACAGTAGTGAATTTGGAAGTTAAAAAAAGCAGGTAACCTGTCAAATTAACAATGAAATTTATTTCTAACAGAAGCTATAGGTTATGTCTTATTTTTACATATGTCCATAATGTTTCTAACCATGACAGTCTATTCTTGAAGATGCACGACCTTGTTATAGTCAATGATGGACATAAGAGTCAGCAAGTTGCATCACTTCAGAAAAGGAAGGAAGAATTGGTGCAAATGAAAAATGTATATAGGTATCAGTTTGCTGAGGTACATTCTCGATATACCTTAAATAATAAAACTAATTTAAAACCATCATTAAAAGGTTTAGGTGGGGTAGAATGACAAGCAGGATTAACTACAGAGCCATTAGACAATTCTGGGGATTCATGGGAGAAAAACCAGTACTCTGCATTGAAAATGCAAAGAAAGATTCGTATAATACGAACTGGTTAATATAGGCTGGGAACAGTACTACACACAGCAGTTATCCAGGGTAATGACAGTTTGAAATTTGTGAGTATATAGTATATAGGAGTGTCTTTGGACTCCATGCACTGAATAACTTACTTTTTTTTTTTTCCTAAAGGAGTACAATGTTTTGAGCCAGAAATGTCCCCATTAGTTTTGTTGGTAAAAGAATATATCCCTTTAATCTCAAATATCTTCTTAAGAAGTCTTAAAATCATGTAGAATGCGTGGTATCATAGGAAATGCAGCAAAGTGTGGATAATAACAAAATTTGCCTCTCTACCTTCTCACATACTGTGTAGTTATTTCCAGTAATGCACACAAGAGAATGAAATGCTAAAATTCTGATATGGTAATTGTCAGAGTTCTAATAAAAATCCACAGCTTTCAAAATCTGATTAATAGTTAAAGGCAAAAAATTTGAAAGTGTGTTGAGAAACTGAATACAGAGAAATGGGTGTAAAGTACAATCAAAGGAGGAAACCACAGAAATTGAAGATGCCAAAGAAGTAATTGAGACAAAATTATACATAGAAATGCATGGTGAAAATAAAGGATTTGTGATGGAGAACTACTTTTTTCCCAGGGTCAGGGAACTGGTATTTAACTGCAATGACCTGTAAATGATTCAGTGCAGACTGTTGGACTGTGCAATAGAAGTTGCACTGTGCAATAGAAGTCCTCTCAAGCTCTGAGTCCTAATGCCTGGCAACTCAAACCTCTTCAAATTATTTACCTTGGTGCCTAGTTCTGCAATTTGTACAAAGATGTTGCTTAGTTTTGGTCAGCCTAATTTCATAAGAAATGCTCTTAACCAGGAAGCATCCACTACAAGTAAGATGTGGCAGTGTTTATTTGACATTGAGGTCAAAGAAGGATGCAATCTGACCAACACTTTTTGACATTGACATTGTTTCATCATGAGAATAGCGAAGGGGGGTGCAGCACGTGTTTTTTCCCCTCATTATTACAAACCACTTGTGCCTGCCATGTGCTCCGCAAAATGGCATGATGAGGATTTTGAGACTTAGTGATGTGATTCTTCACTGCAGCCTCAGAATATTCAGCTTCTTGTTTATCAGAGTTACAGAGAAAAGCTTTTCAAAGAGCATTTTTAGATAAACTGAAGTGGGACTTCAACATGAGCTGTCCAGAGAAGGGCAATGCAGCTGGTGAAGGGTCTGGGGCACAAGTCTGATGAAGAGCGGCTGAAGGAGCTGGGGGGGCTCAGCCTGGAGAAAAGGAGGCTCAGGGGAACTTTACTGCTCTCATCAACTCCCTGACAGGAGAGTGGAGCCAGGTGGGGGTGGGGCTCTGCTCACAGGGAACATGGGACAGAACAAGAGGACAGTCTTAAGCTGTGCCAGGGGAGGTTTAGGTTGGACATTAGGCAGAATTTCTTCTCAGGAAGGGTGATCAGACATTGGAATGGGCTGCCCGGGGAGGTGTTGGAGTCATCTTCCCTGGAAGATGTTAAAAGAAACAATGGCACTGAGTGCCAAGACCTGGTTGACAATGTGAGAAATAGAAACCCAATCGGGTGATTTCCAATAAGAATTTATTATATAATAAAAGCAAATTCAGCGCTGGGTGATCAGGGAGGGGGTTCAACAACTCCCAACGCCTGTCACACCCAAAGAAGACAGTTGTTCTACATTTATTTTCAGCTACTTCATGAATATTCATTATACATAAACATAAACATTACACATTGTTAAGTCAGACTTTTAACAGATATTTTCTTAACAAGAATGTTATCTATAAGCATCCATAATATATTGCCAAATCAGACATTCAGCAGATGTTTGCTTGTTATCTATACAAAGTTATAAATTTTAAGAAAGGTACTATTATCTAGCTAACTAAACAAAATTCTCTCACTATAAATCCTACACAAGGTAAAAGGGAGGTAACTTGTTTTATCTCTTTATAGGAGCCCAATTAAGTTTTACGATTTGTTTTTCTTTTCTCTCTCCAGGTCATATTGACCTTACACTGTTTCCTCTTAATTAGCCCGAATCATTTTCTCAGTTTATCACAACAAGGTGGCGTTCAGTCATAGGTTGGACTCTATGATCTCAAAGGTCTTTTCCAACCTAACTGATTTCGTAGATATCGACATTTTCCAATTGCTCACCGGCCTCGGAGCCAGGCGAGTGGGTGCGTTTATTAATTAACACCACAACAGCGAGAGCTACAAAGAAGTAATCAGTCCATTAGAAGAACGAGTGATGACAACAGCTTCACCCCCGCACGGCCCCGGGCCCGGGCGGGTCACGGCGGCGGGCGGAGTGGCGGGGCCGGGGAGGCCCGGGGCGAAGGTGGCGGTCGCCGAGGCGGCATCGCTGCGGGTGTCCCGGGAGCTGCGCTGGCTGGCGGCCGAAGTCGGGTGGCGTAAAGAGCCGCAGGAGCCGCGCTGCCCCGGCAGCGCCAGCCCCGAGCGGCAGCGGCTGCGGGCCGAGAACGACAGGCTGCGCTACGGCCTCCTGCTCCTGCGCCACGGCTCGGCGGCCGAGCGGGGCCGGGCGGCGCCGGCCCGGCCCCCGGGCGGCCGAGAGGTGCAGGCCGGGGCCGCTCAGAGGATGGGGGGGGCAAGCAGTGGACTCCGGGCTGGCCGGGCCTCTGCGAGGAGTGACGGGACAGGGACACTCACGGCGCCGAACTGCCCGTCCCCAGTCCGCGGGGGTCGCGGTGCTCCGCGGGTGGGAGCCGGTCGCGGTGTCTGCCCGCAGCACTGAGCAGTGGACCTGCCTTTGCGCGTGCATCATAGAATCAGAGAATGGCTTGAGTTGAGAAAGACCCTAAAGATCAGTCGTGTTGTTCCAACTCCCTGCCGTGGGCAGCAACACCTTCCACCAGACCAGGTTGCTCAGAGCCCCATCCGACCCGGCCTTGAACGCAGCCAGGGATGTGGCATCCACAGTTTCTCTGGGCAGCCTGCGCCAGGTATGACACCACTGAAAGTTGTCACTGTTCAATGTGCCAGTGTGATCACCCACGGTTCCGCTGGGGAGATTTTGCCGGTGATAGTTCTGGTAGTGCCACTGAGCAGTTTTGCTGTGTCTGCAGAACATCAAAAAGATGCAGTTTAGATGGATCATAAGAAGTCTTTGTGCTAAGGACATAACTTATTCCCCTGTAATTACCTTTTTAGCCCAATATTGTACTGGTCTGGTTTGTTTCAACGATTGCTGGGAAAAGTCTTAAAGGTATAGTAGAGATATACTTTGTATTATCACTGCTTTCAGAAAGTCTCCAGTGCAAGTCCAACTGATGCAGTGAATCAAAATAAAAGAGGAAAAGAAAAAAGAAAGTAAATCTGTGAACCAACATCAGAATTATGTAAATGGTTATTTTAGGGTACATAATAATAGAAGAACTGGTGTTTGATCAGGTTCAGAAATACTTTGTTTATTTTGAAATCCCAGTTTTTGGGGAAAAGGTTTGCTATAGCAGAGAGAAAAAAATATTATTTAGGAGCTTCACCTTGTGTTAGTAGGGTTACTTACACATTCTTAGATCTCTACTTTTTATGTAAGAAAAGGATTGGGGTTATTTGGAAATAAAGGTCATAATTCTGTGGTGCCTAAAGAGAGTGAAGGTTCATGAGCAGTTAAACAGCGTGATGGCTGAAAGGATGTTGGCAGCACTAGCTGTAGTACAACAGAGCTTAATAACTAGAGTAACCTTCACGTGAACTATCTTGTTTGAATCTGATGCTTTGAATGGACTGGCAGAAATGAGGGCTCACTGGAGTGATCCAGATTTCTCTAGGACATCTGCCAATTGCAAATTCTGGGGCAGGAATATAGGCTGCTTTCTGAGGTCAAACTTGCAAAGCCATTTAGGCCTAGATTGATGAAAGTGCATGACAAACTGGAAAGCTACTATAAAGTAGTCAGAAGGTTGGATGGGACTATCCTTTGTATAATTATGTACAAATGGTTTACTGCATTTTAGTATAAATTCTAGTACAGTGAAATCTGGTCAAAGTTGGGACCTCTGAGGATGCACCAACAGTGTGAATCCTTTTATTCTATTTCTCTCACAAATATGTATGTGCATAATCTAATTTATTTGTTACAGCTACAGTGTGTGCCAAGTTTCACAGAAGACACACTGAAGCTTTATGAAGCACTGAAAAAAAGAACATGATGCTTTGCTAGGTTACAGAGGAGCCAACCAGCGCAAATCTATCAAAATTACTCTGACAGATGGAAAAATGGCTGAAGGGGAATCTTGTGGGGAAAACCACACCATTTCAGTTAGCTGTAGGACTTCAGTAACCTGCAGATTCAAGGAGTTGTACTTTTGCAGTGATAAAACTGTTACTATCATTTGTCTCTTACCTTGTTGTGTAAAATATATGTCATGGTCAGTGGACAATGACTCTTAAATTGGTTCATTTGGAAAGCATTGAACCTTCAGTTTAATGCATAATAAACAGCTGGTTGAGGTTACTGTTCTGTTCTTGAGGTTCTGTGCTAGGATCATAATGCTTGCTTCCAATTAAAAAGTAAATCAGTCAGACTGCTAGGAATTAATAGAGACATTGGAAGTTTTGTGAGTTACCAGATACAGTAGAACTTATTGTAAGAAGCAGTCTTTCCTCCAGATCCCCGGCACTGAAAACCATTAAATGAAACTTCTCAAGACCTTAAGGTTCTTTACCTTTAAAGTGGAAAAGTGTTTAAGACCACCATCACAGAAACGTGGTGGGATGACTCGCGTGACTGGAGTGTTGCCATGGATGGCTACACGCTCTTCAAAAAGAACAGGCAGGGTAAGAGAGGTGGAGGGGTGGCTTTATATGTTAGAGAGTCTCTTGACTCTGTTGAACTTGAGATCAGCAATGATAAGGTTGAGTGCCTGTGGACCAGAATCAGGGGGAAGACCAACAAGGCCGACATCATCATAGGTGTCTGTTACAGACCGCCCAACCAGGATGACGAAGGGGATGAAATATTCTACAAGCAGCTGGCAGATGTCTCGAAATCATCAGCCCTTGTCCTTGTGGGTGACTTTAACCTGCCGGATATCTGCTGGGAGCTCAATACTGCAGAGAAGAGGCAGTCTAGGAAATTCCTGGAGTGTATAGAGGACAATTTCCTCCATCAACTGGTAAATGAACCTACCAGGGGTAAGGCCCCGCTAGACCTGCTGTTTACAAACAGAGAGGGGCTGACGGGAGATGTAGTGGTTGGAGGCCGCCTGGGAAATAGTGACCATGAAATAATAGAATTTTCAATACTCAGAGATTCTAGGAGAAACAACAATAAAACCTCTACGCTGGATTTCCGGAGGGCAGATTTTGACCTATTCAGAAGTCTAGTCCAGAGCATACCCTGGGAAACAACCCTTAAAAACAAGGGGGTCCAGGAGGGATGGACGTGCTTCAAGCAAGAAGTTTTGAGTGCACAGGAACAGGCCGTACCAGTGTGCCGAAAGGCAAGCCGGCGGGGAAGACAACCAGCTTGGTTAAACTGGGAGATTCTGAAGGAAATCAGGGATAAAAAGAGAACTTACCGACTGTGGAAGAAAGGGCTGGCTACTTACGAAGAATTCAGGAAGACAGCTAGATCATGCAGAAAGAAAATCAGGGATACAAAAGCGCAATTTGAAGTTAAATTAGCCACTTCTGTTAGGGATAACAAAAAGTCCTTCTATAAATACATTAATAACAAAAGGAGGAGCAAAGAAAACCTTCATTCTTTGAGGGACTTGGAGGGAAACATAGTTAATAGAGATGAGGAGAAGGCTGAGGTACTTAACACTTACTTTGCCTCAGTTTTTACCAGTAGGACAGGTGGCCCTCAAGGCAACCGGCCTCTGGAGCTGGTAGACAGAGATAGGAAACCAAATAGCCCCCTTGTATTCCAGGAGGAAATTGTTAGTGACTTACTGAGTCATCTGGATCCTCACAAGTCTATGGGACCAGATGGGATCCATCCTAGGGTAATGAGGGAGCTGGCAGAAGAGCTTGCCAAGCCGCTCTCCATCATCTTCCAACAATCCTGGCTCACTGGGGAGGTCCCATATGACTGGAAGTTGGCAAATATCACCCCAATCCATAAAAAAGGCTGCAAGGCTGACCCTGGTAACTACAGGCCTGTCAGCCTGACCTCGGTGGCTGGCAAAGTTATGGAGCAGATCATCCTGTGTGAAATCACAGAGCAGCTACAGGATGGACAAGGGATCAGACCCAGCCAACATGGGTTTAGGAAGGGCAGATCCTGTTTGACCAACCTGATCTCCTTTTACGATCAGGTGACCCACCTGGTGGATGAGGGAAAGGCTGTGGATGTGGTCTATCTGGACTTCAGCAAAGCCTTTGACACTGTCTCCCATAGCATACTCCTGGAAAAGCTGGCAGCCCACGGCTTGGACAGGGGCACTCTGGGCTGGGTCAGGAACTGGCTCGAGGGCCGGGCCCAGAGAGTGCTGGTGAACGGAGCTGCATCCAATTGGCGACCGGTCACCAGTAGTGTTCCCCAGGGGTCAGTGCTGGGCCCAGTCCTTTTTAACATCTTTATCGATGATTTAGATGAGGGGATTGAGTCCATCATCAGCAAATTTGCTGATGACACCAAATTGGGAGGGAGTGTCGACCTGCCGGAAGGCAGGAGGGCTCTGCAGAGGGATCTGGATAGACTGGAGAGATGGGCTGACTCCAATGGAATGAAGTTCAACAAGGCCAAGTGCCGGGTCCTGCACTTTGGCCACAACAACCCCCTGCAGCGCTATAGGCTGGGCACAGAGTGGCTGGAGAGCAACCAGGCGGAAAGGGACCTGGGGGTGCTGATCGACAGGAGGCTGAACATGAGCCAGCAGTGTGCTCAGGTGGCCAAGAAGGCCAATGGCATCCTGGCCTGCATCAAGAACAGTGTGGCCAGCAGGAGCAGGGAAGTGATCCTTCCCCTGTACTCTGCATTGGTGAGGCCACACCTGGAGTATTGTGTTCAGCTCTGGGCCCCTCAGTTCAGGAAGGATATTGAGGTGCTGGAGTGGGTCCAAAGAAGAGCAACGAGGCTGGTGAAGGGACTGGAGCACAAGTCCTATGAGGAGAGGCTGAGAGAGCTGGGGTTGTTCAGTCTGGAGAAGAGAAGGCTTAGAGGCGACCTCATCACTCTCTTCAACTACCTGAAGGGAGGTTATAGCCAGGTGGGGGTTGGTCTCTTCTCCCAGGCAACCAACAATAGGACAAGGGGACATGGGCTCAAGCTCTGCCAGGGGAGGTTTAGGTTAGATGTTAGGAAGAAATTCTTTACAGAGAGGGTTATCAGGCATTGGAACGGCCTACCCAGAGAGGTGGTGGATTCACCATCCCTGGAGGTTTTTAAAAAGAGATTGGACGTGGCCCTTAGTGCCATGATATAGTAATTGGAGTTGGATCAGGGGTTGGACTTGATGATCTTGGAGGTCTTTTCCAACCCAATCTATTCTATGATTCTATGATTCTATGATTCTATGATTCATAGAAACAAAAATTTAAGGTATTCAGGTGCTACGAGATGTGGCTGTGGTCTCATGGGGTTTAGAAACCTAAGGTCTTTTACAAGTCTGAACCTAAATATTCAGGTCTCTTGTCGTCCGTTCTGTTTTTTTAGTCAAGTATTGGCTTCAAATGCTGTCATAGCTAAAGCGGATGGTGAACTGTGGGACCTGTATTGTCCACTGGAGGGAGATTGTACTCTAAAGCTGCTGACCTTTGATCATGAAGAAGCAAAAGCTGTGAGTAAACACTCTCTGGTTTCTGCTTGATTAGATGAACTAATGACATAAAATTGATTGCAGCATTAGGGTTTAAAATCTTGACATAAAAAAAAAAAAAACCACACAAAACTATTCAAATAATGTATTTCCCATGATTCAGCAAAGAAGGTGAGATACTAAGTGCCTATTATCTGAGAGTAAATAAAATCTTAGGGTTCTTTTCATCCTTCTCTTTTACATAAACAGGTTATTTCTCAAATGAGATCATACAGAACATCTTGATTTGTATGCTAACTTGAAATAGTTCGATGGATGTCTTCTAAGATATGTTCTGTGGTTTGACAGTGCATTTGAAGATCAGACAGTGAAAGCAAAGTAAGGCTGTCTTGCTGTTTTCTAAAAATTGTCCAACATTACATTTGAGTCATAAATAAAGTCTACACCTCCTTTTACTGGCACTGTTTATTAGAACCTTAAGCAGTCGTATCTTAGTCAATTAAACTATGAATATACTTAGCAACACACCCAAGATTTTTTATTTTTTAATGAGATTCAGTATGAAGCTTATGTTTATGTATGAGAATTAGACTTCAATTTTGTCAAAGAATGGTTCATGTGATTAAGCTTGTTTGAGGTATTTCAGAAGCCTGTAAAGGCTTTATCTTGTAGCAGTGGCTCTGAATTAGTCCAAATTAAAAGGAACTTAGAACATAAGACTGGTATTGATCTACTGGGTTGTTGGCTCCCCTCTGCTGACATTTCAGGTAATGTACTTTACCTGACCTATTAATAAAGGTACTGAATGTGAACAGTGGAAACTTAATTTGCTACATTGTTTTAGATCTGATTAGTGTTGCATAGACTTTTGACTGACTGGAAGCTAACTTATAAATTAATAAGGTACAGTAAGTAGTAAGTTGATGGAATAGCGCACAGGTATAATCATCACCTTTCAGACTACAGTATGGTGGGCTTTTAGTGCTACATCTGCCATTGTATTAATCATTTAGAGTACTTCAAAGTGAGAACAGAAAATTGTTTTACTTCTCTTAAAATTTAAACAACATTGGTTCCAGTCTACTTCTCATCTGCAGATATGGTTTGATTTTTTCCTTTTTAGTTACTCAATGCCACTGACCCCATGGCTTGCTCACCTGACTTTATTTGCAGGTTTATTGACATTCAAGTGGTCACATTCTTGGAGAGGCCATGGAAGGATATTTTGGGGGCTGCTTATGCTATGGACCATCAACTGAGAATGGATTTTATTTTGAGATATATATTGAAGGTAGGTAAAATTTCAGTGTCTTAGAACTTTAATACTCTGTATTGAATCGCAGTACTAGAATTATTTTGTTCTGTCAAGTTTCTGCATGTTAAAAGTAAAATAGTGTCTCTAATATGATTGGAAGCTGACAGGTTTGTTGTCGGAACAGAGAGATTTCTCTGAACAATTTTTCCCTGCACTCTGTAGGCCTTGCTTGCCATGGAAGTGACAAGTGTGTATTGTTTATACTTATAGACTGTGTGAAAATATGTGATGTTTATACTTGTTAGCTGTGTGTCTAATTATAAGGTTTGAGAACATAATATGTTTATAGTAAGAAAACCTTGAGAACCTAGAGATAAAGGTACACCTGCAGATTTTGGAAAGCCCCTAATTAGGAAGGCCTTTACATGCCAAGTATGATTTCAGATCGCGTGGACAGAACATCAGGTCCAATGAACTGGAGACATGAGACGTGTGCACGGACTGAGCTATCCAATCATCTTGTTGTAAGCATGTGCCCCAAACAAACTAAACTGTATAAAAGTTAACTGATTTAAATAATAAAGTGGACATTGCTTTGATCATATTAATCGTGTTGCTATGTCTCTGAACCTCCACATCGATACAGGTTAGTCTTCTATGTAGGCACATAAATCGAGTGTTTATGTACATTTAAATTCAAGAGCACTGTTCAGACACCTGCTCTGTAAGACTTGCAGCTGTTCGACGTTCTGCAGAAAAAATGTGGTGTTTGGGTAAAACTTCCTGAACTTCTGGAGAGACAAAGGAGATGGTTTCCTTGAAGAGTTCTGGGAGTTTGGTTTCCAAGTGCCACAGTCACTTGTAGAGAAGGCACATATGCTTATAGCTTGTATAGGTGTTTACTACTTTTCTAATCCCTGTGCACAGCTTTACAATTCTGTTGTTTCCTTGTTTATCTTTCTGTAGTCAGGGAGAATACTGAATCTGCATCAGCCCATAAACAGACTCCTGCAACTGGGTTGAGCCTTTTTCCCCCCTATTTTTTTTCTTAAATCATACATATACTTCGACCTGTAGGTCTTACAGACATTTAATCATGTCAAAGACTGTTCTAGGAATGATTGCAGTGGGTTTGTTTGAGGTGGCATTATTTGCGTTTCTGAGTTTAATGTCTGAAAATACAACTGATTGGAAGAAGCTAAGAAAATACTGGGACAAATCACAACAACACATTTTACAGTTTCCATTTAGACCACTAGAAAGTGGTTATTTCAAAAAAATGGAAATATCAAAATCATTAATTTATATTTCTTTTGCCTGTGTCTTTTTGTTTAGAGGTGTATCTAGTACTGAACTCCCACTACTAGAGAACCGCTGTAAAAATATCATAAAAGCGAAACAGGCTTTTGAAAAGCTGGAAGTCAACAAGGAGACCCTGTTAGACATGTTTAAGGTAAATCTTTTGAGTAGCTGTGGTTGTGGTGCAATGATCTTTTAAAATGTAACTTTTATAAAATGCTGCATGTGACTGAGTCATCAGAACTGTACCCGTCTAGTAAAACAAAGAAAAAGAATACCATCCCTTTCCCCTCTGTTTCCTCTCAAGTGTTCAGAATGTTTTCAGGCACTAATAAAAACAATTTTGTATTACACAAAAAATACCTCAGGCTCAATGAGATGACAAATAAGTACAGAAAAGGAAGGCACTCATTCCTTCTGGCTCACTTGCAGAGACAGGTCAAAAAAGACTTTTGCTATAGCCCCCTGTTTTATACAGTGAATATTGCCAGTCTCACTATGCTGTGTAATTGCCTTTTGCAAGTGCTTTGAGGTGTTCAGGTGGTAATCACCATCCTCAACACACCCTCAGGGGATTTAAGATGTTTTTGTCTCTTTCCTCTTGTTTTGCAACTCTTCTGAAGGATGTTGAACTGTTGAGTACAAACTTTTAATTTAGTTGTGTCTTTTACCGATGCACTTGCATTATTAATACATAATTTAAAAAGAGAATTTTGTTAGTCATTTTATTGATGTTTCTGACTTTTCATGTTTCCACACACAGTATAACTTTTAACTGTCATATGCCTAGTGAGAAGGTGAAGACACCAACTACCACAATATACAGGTAAAGAAATATGCTTCTAAGATATTGTATTTTTATAGTTAGTTTATTTAAATTGAGACAGGAATAAATTGGTTTTTTGTTTTAGGTTTTTTTTATTTTTATTCTAACTTCCAAATTCTTGTGTGATTGGGACTTAGGTTTGCAATTAATATTGCTACTTTTATAAAACGAGGTATTTTCTTTCTCTGCTGGGACAGATTAGGTCTCAATTTGTGGACAAATGGCAAATCCAGTTTTTATTCATTCCCTCTCATTTCAGTACACTGATTAAAATAAGTTACCACCCCAGACATTGGATTGGTGCATAGTGGGTAACACTAACTCTCAGCTTATTGGGGGGTGAGGAACCTGCTTATTTAGTTGCTCATTCCAATCAGTTGGTTGGAAAATAGCAGAACCATTTTTCTGTTTGATATGCATAGTTTGAAATTTCCTGGTCAGCTTTAACAAAGTTCACATATGGAACTATATGAGTTGGTGAATGTGTTATGATGGTCTTGATAATAGATCAGCTGTGCTGAGCATTTACTGAGAGAATATTTCACTTCAGGTAGAAGGCTCAGTTACATTTAAGGAGCATATGAATATGCTGCACATTGCATATTCATATTTACTACCATGGTGGAATGTGTCAAGCACGAATTTGTGCACCATTAGTGACTGTATTGAGAAAATGTTGGAGTATTTGGAAATGAACACTTTTTTTCTTTTGGGCATATAGATGTGGTCCACTGATTAATCTCTGCGGGGTGAGACACATTGGAAAAATTAAGACCCTTAAAATAGTTAGGGTAAATTGAAATTAACTGTGCATTGAAACTGAAGTAAACAATGGTACAGTTGATTTATTTATGTATTTATTTCTCCTGAGCTGATTATGCTAGGATTCTTTGTATTGTTTTCTTTGTTTACTCTGAAAATAATCCTTCATTTCTTTCCGAACTCCCATTTTACAAGTAGAACTGCAGACTTTAATCATTCATCCACGTCCAAGATTTACTGATTCTTGACTATCACAATCGTACAGCAGTGAAAGTTAATAGCATCTTTTTTTGTCAGAGTATTAGTGTAGTAACATGCATGTTTAGACTGATGAAGAGCACAGCAAGAACACTGTAGCTAGTAGTGACTAGATTAGCTGTGGAACCAATTGTCCCATGCCCAGTAGAGAAGTGCAGTGCCTAAGCCCATGTGGCAGTGCTGTTCCAGGACCTCTAACCAGCACTGCACCTCATAGTACGAGTGTCCTGGTTTGAGACTGTACCTGCTGTCACATCTGTGTGTGTGTGCGCGTGGGGGTGCACACTCTGTTCTGCAGCAAATGAACATCCAAGTGTTTATTGGGTCAGAATATACTACTTTGACCTTGTCAGATGGTATCTTTCAGGTACAGGAGGTAAAACAGCAGATCTGCAAGTGCTGCTGTTAAAAGATGGCATTGCTTACAGGAAAGGCAGAGACAGGGTTTGCAGAGGCCTTTGTTTTTGTGGTGTAGTTTAAGTTACTCACAGATGCCAATTTTGGTAACCATATTAGATCAATACCTCATTGGAATGTTCATCATAGTTGCTTTTGCTGGCTTCCTAACTGAAGTGTGTGGAACTCTGAATTCCAGGGATTATGTGTTAGATTGTCAAAACAACTAAGAATTAACTGTGAGAGTTAGGTTTGTTGTGTCTTTCGTGTTTCTCTACTGCAGTATGTTTTGAACGTGCTTTGAACTGCTTTTCTAGCTGCTATAATATGAAATAATAAAACATGCCATGATGTGAGTTGAAACAAGGTACCTAAGTAGAATAAAAATATTACTTGACCAGTCACTTTTGCTTGTCCTCTGTATTAGTATGCTGACTAAAAGGCACTGCAAGTATCTTTGTTATAAACATATGCTCAAAGACTGCATATAAATCTCTTCCCAAGGAAAGAAATAATACTGTTTGAATGTGTTAATGCTTATCTCTCCTTTCCGTGATATTATATAATATTATCTTAAAGTTTGGGGTTTGTGTATCAGAGTTCCTCTGATATGGAAACTCTGCAGAGAATATATAGAATATCCTTTCCTTATAACAAAATGATGAAGGAATGTGAAAAAATCCAGGAAGAAGCCAGGAACTGGGATCATAGGAAAACTGGAAAGGTACACTATTCCATTGTTTACTTATTTTATGCTTCTATGAATTCTATTGAATCCCCTCCCTGCTCCAGAAGACCACATATACACAGGACGTTCATGTAAGAGGCAGTTGAGCAGGGGTCATAAACCATTAAAGACCCCCAAAGAGCCCCCACGACTCATTCCTGAGGTCTTCCACCACTACAGAACTGCATGTGATGCAACAAATCCAGAGCCTGTCGCAAGAGACTGCAAAGCTTCCTCCCTCCCAGAGCAGGTGCCTGGGCATCTGCTGGACGTGTATTAATCCACTGCACTCCATGTTTTGCTAGGCCCTCCCCACTAAGACCAGAAGAACAGGACTCCATTGGATGCCACCGGGTTCCATGGAGTGGTGATAAATTTTCTATTTTAATCTCTCTTTGTCACTCTCTTTCTTCCCCCCACTCCTTTTTCCTATTTCTTTCTATGTCTCTTTCTCTGCCTTTACTGTTAAATAAAATCCATACTGATGATTTTGGTATAAGGTGTCATTTGCACCTTAATTCAGGCACAGGCATTTCTAATAATTTTTAATAGCCAGATCATAACACAAGGGCAGCAAGACCTTTCTGTCCTGGCCCCTTTTCATCTGTACTCAATTTTGGGAGGCAGACTGGCAATTTTGGAGCTGGGTACCTGCCAGCAAACAACAGCCCTTTACCCCAGGAAAGAAAGCATGGAGCCTGAGGCTCTCAGGTGCAGATCATGGGTCTCCAAGGGCACTCTGTGGGCAGCAAGACCTTTCTGTCCTGGCAGGTTTTGTCCCAGAAAAATTTTCTCACAGACATATCCAGTTACTTGCAGACAAAAGGTGTTTCAGGAAGTGCCCTGAAATGGAGGGGAACCTTCCAATTCAAACCCTTAAAATGATAAAAAATTCAATTTAAACCTTAAAATGAGGGGAAAGGGGGTGGGGGGGTGTTACCTCAAATTAAAGCAATAAAATGGCAAATAAGTGGGTTCTCCCCTCAATTTAAACCCCTAAAATATTGGAGTAAGAGGGCTTTCCCTCATTTTAATTACCTCAAATGATTGAAAAAGGGGGATTTCCCCTCAATTTCAAGTCTTCTATATAAGGGAGAACAGGGATTCACCCTCAATTTAAACCTTACAGTGATGAAAAGGGGGGGGGTTGCCCTCAATTTCAAACCCATAAAATGGCATTGTAAAGGTGTTACCCTTCCATTGCAACCAGAAAATAGTGGAAGATGGGGATTCCCTGTCAATCGATACCCATAAAATCATGAAAAAGGTTGGGTTTCCTTCAATTGATACTCTTAAAATTGCAGGTGCAGGGGAATGTCCTATCGCCCCCCCTAGTTTAAACACAGTAACAGAAAAGGAGGCTTTCAATTTGAACTCCTTTTCTTTTCTCCTACCCCCCCCCCCCCCCCCCCCCCCCCCCCCCCCCGCCCCCTTTTCTCTACGGTCACTCAGAGGCACTGGAAGATGAAACTGAAAGGAGAAAAACCTTTCCTGCACTCCCCAGCGTTGCCCCACCTGCTCAGGTGCTGATCCCCTCAGCACAGAGTTCGTTCCTCAGCACCTTCCTCGAGCAAAGCTCCATATCCAGGTGCTCCCCCAGCCCCTGCGAGGTGCTCTCACCATCGTTCCTTGAGAGACCCACCTGAATCGCACCTCAGCCACTCCCGTCCGGCACCTGAGCCCGCATGACTCCTGAGGGACGCACCCCCTCCTCATCCTCACTGGCCACCCCTGGGGCCGCCCCGCCAGACAGGGAACTCCGCCCGGTGCTCCCAGTTCCCTCCCGCCACTCCTGGTGTCACTCCCAGTGTCACTCCCAGTGTCACTCCCGCTGTCACTCCCAGTGTCGCTCCCAGTGTCACTCCCACTGTCACTCCCGCTGTTACTCCCAGTGTCGCTCCCACTGTCACTCTCGCTGTCACTCTCACTGTCACTCCCACTGTCACTCCCAGTGTCGCTCCCAGTGTCGCTCCCAGTGTCACTCCTTGGCTCCGCATGGTGAGGAGGCCGGACCGGCGGCACCGAGCGGGGCAGAAGCGGCTGCCATGGGGCCGGGCTGGTGCCCGGCGTATTGTGGTCTCCAGTCTCTGCTGGGGGGATAAAACGACCACGTTGAGGTAAAACCGAGGCAATTAGTGAGGGACATTCTGGGGGTATAATCGAGGTTCTCTGAGTGAGACAGGTAGGGACAATTTTGGGGTAAAACCTGAGCTAGTCAGAGGAGGTTTGGGGGTCAAACTTGAGTTCCTTTACAAGGAACAGAAGGAATGTTTGTGAGGGAAAATCAGAAGGAAATTGGGAGGGGTAGCAGAGGTGATATTTTCCACAGAAATGCTGAGGTAATTTAGATAAAACAAAATCACCATTTTTGTGGGGTAAATCCAGGGGTACCTTAGAGAGGAAAAAGGAGCCTTTTTGAGAGAAAGGCTGGGAACTCAAGAGGAGGCTGAGGCAGCATTTTGGACAAAAACCTGGGGTTACTTAGAGGGGACAGAGGTGACCCTTTTATCTGAAAACCTGGAGTAATTTAGAGAGGACACAACCACTGTTTTATGTAGGAAAGTGGAAGGTGATGTAGAGGGGAGGGAAGTGGCATTTTGGAGGGAATGGCTGAGGTGGCAGATTGAGCCCTGGGGCATGAATCCTTTCCAGTCAGCAGGAGCTGTTCCCAAGTGCCATACCCTGGCTCATTACTTAGTAAGATTGTGTTCCTCCAACCCCTAGACGGTGCTTTGGTGTTCCTGTATGCACCTCTCGCCTTTGCCTCCTGTGACCATCCTTGTGTTGCAGCTCAATAAAGTCGATTTTGGTGTTTCTTGTTTTTGATTATTGTATGTAATAAAAGTACTGCTCAATTTCTCTGAACTATTCCCCTCCTTCAATGGCTGTATCACTGGTCCAAAATTTATGTTCATAGACACTCCTTTTCTAACAGGAAACATAATTTTCCTTTTGCCTTTTCCAGGTTGTTTGCAGGTGCTGCCCAAAATGAGCATCCATGTGCTCGGACAGTGACTCCCCAGGAGGAGAGGGAGCCTTGGCCTCACCTGCTTAGGTTATGTGGATAGGACAGAATTGGGGTGGTGTAGTGAGTTTCGGTGGCTTGGTTTTGGTAGCGGGGGTTGGCTACAGGGGTGGCTTCTGTTAGAAGCTGCCGGAAGCTTCCCCTGTCTGGCAGAGGCAATGCCAGCTGGCTCCAGGACAGACTTCTTGCCACTGGCCAAGGCCAAGCCAATCAGGAGTAATAGTAATGCCTCTGGGATAACATTTAAGAAGAGAAGATTGTTGCACAGAAAGAATTCCAGCTAGGGAAGAGCGAAGTGAGAACATGGGAACAAGGTAGACATCAAGGTCAGTGCAGAAGGAGGGGTAGGAGGTGCTCCAAGTGCCGGAGCTGAGGCCCTGCAGCCTGTGGTGCAGAGCAGGGTGGGGCAGCTGTGCCCTTGCAGCCCATGGAGGACCACTGGGGTGCAGAGACCCCCCTGTAGCCCACGGAGGAGCCCATGCTGGAGCAGGTGGATGCAGGAAGGAGGCTGCGATCCCATGGCAGGCCTAGGATGGAGCAGGGTCCTGCTGGAGACCTGCAGCCTGTAGAGAGGGAAGCCCAGGCTGCAGTAGGTTTTTCCTGGGTAGGACTCATGGCCCTTGTGGGAGACCCACACTGGTACAGCTCATCCGTGAAGGACTGACCCCATGGAGGAGTGACCCATGGGACAGCAGTCTGAGAATAGCTGCTGCCTGAGGGATGGATTCACATGGGAGAGGTCCGTCAAGGACTGTCTCCTGTGGGAGAGACCCCATGGGGGCAGGGGAAGGACTCCTCTCTCTGAGCAGCGACAGAAACAACAACTGGCCGTAACCCCCGTTCCTGTCCCCCTGCACCGCTGAGGCGGAGGAGAGAGAACATGGAAGGAAGGAGGGGTGGGGGTGTTGCCGTGGGATTTATGGTGCTGAAAAAATCTCCCGGAGCAGTTAATTAGGGGTGAGATAAGAAAGGGTTTATTTTACCAAGGCTAAAGATGTTACAAGACGCGCGCCAGCCGTGCCTGAGATGTTATATTTTATAATACCATCCATCCAATCCCAGATGTGTCCACCCTGTGGCCTTTACTCTGGACCACCCCAAGTCCACCCCCTGAGAAATGGGTCTGGGGGTTTTGGGGGCCCTCTCTTCATCCCATCTTCACAATCATCAGAGCATAAAGGGTACATAGTAACCCAGTTTTTGACCGTGTTCTGTGGTTTAGGCCCTGATATGCTGTTCTGCCAACAATCTAGGCCTTGCCTTGACGAAAGACTAAACATTTCTGCTAGATTCAGGGGTAGGACTGATATAGGGAGCATAGAATGGGGTAAGAGGGTTAAGGAATGTGTAAACTAAGGGTGCTAGAGGGAAAGGGACAAGGGACAAGGGATGCTGCTTTTAGAGTCTACTTCCACTACTTATAAAACTTACAAGGCTTACAAGTATTAGAAAAATAAAAAACCCTTAGGGGCTTAAGGCATCAGGGGGAAGGTGTTTTTAAGATTATTTCTTATTCTTTTGCTCTGATCCTGTTAGTAATAAATTTAAGTAATATCCCCACTTTGAGTCTGTTTTGCCCATGAAGGTAATCAGTAAGTGACCTCTTCCAGCTGCTATCTCAACTCATGAATCCTCAGCTGTTTTTTTTTCTC